TTGTGCTTTTGGATTCCAGTGAAATAAAATGATATTAAACATGGTTGGTGTATTTGACACCATGGTTCGTTTGACAGAACACCTGACATTAAAATTGTAAGTCCAGATTGACATATTATTATACTTATTTAAATGATGGATTTATTTTCTTAATTGTACTTCTGAAACAGATTCATTTCGTAAAGGGCACCTTGTCCAGGGGATCTTCCTGGGCCAGGGATTGAACCCAGGTCTCCTGTATTGCAGGCAGATTCTTTACCAGCTGAGCCACCAGCAGGCACCCTCCAGGCTTCTCTGTCCATGGGATTCTCTAGGCAAGAATGCTAGAGTAGGTTGCTGTTTCCTTCTCCAGGGGATTTTCCAACCCAGGCGTCGAATCCGTGTATCTTTCATCTCCTGCATTGGCAGGCAGGTTTTTTTTTTACCACTAGCGCCACTTCAGAAGCCCCTAAAACTGAATATGTATTGTTAAATTTTGCAGCTAGAAAGGTTGTTTGAGAAGCACTTGAACATTTAAAATGGTTTAATAGTCATGATCATTGTTAACCATTTTCTGAAGGGACCAATATTGAAAATCACTTTTAAGATAGAATTTATAATAATGGTCCTTTATATTAAGGAGGTTTGATCCAGGAACAATACATTTTCAAATACAGTTTGCCTTTAACTTGTAAAGTTGAACATTTTCATTCCCAACTATTCAGCAGTTTAATTCTTAGTTATACACCCTAGAGAAACTTTTGCACATATGCACCAAGAGCTAACACAAAAATAACTCATGAAATCATTGATCATGATAGCAAAAAGCTAGAACTCAAATGTCCAGATAAAATGAACACATAAATTACAGATTGGTCACATGGTAGAATATTATACAGCAGTGACATGATTGAACTATATGTAATAATGTGGAATGATCTAGAAATATAACGCTGAGTGAAAAAACAAGTACCAGAGGACTGTATATAAGTAAGATACCCTTTATAAAGCTCAAAACCAAGCTAAACTAAAAAATGTATTATTTGGGGGGCAGACAAGGGGATGATAAAACACAAAATTCGGGCTAGCAGCTAGCTACCTGTGGAGGACAGGCAGGGAGGTAGGATAGGGAAAGAGCTTGTTATGTTGGTCAAAGATTGGTCAGTGTTTAGGTCAGGTTTATGCGTATAGTACTCACGGTTGTGCTTCATAACTATACTTTCACCCACTCGTCCACTTAAAAAAATGTGAGAGTTGCAAATTAAGTTTTATTTGGGGCAAAATGAGGATGGCTGCCTGGGAGACAGTGGCTCAGATAGCTCTGAGAAACTGTTCTAAACTGTTCTAAAGAGATAGGGAGGAAAGTCAGCATATATGTGGTTTTGGTGAAGGGGGAATACTTGCATTCAAGCACGTATTTTTTCCAGCAGGTTTCTGCTAGTCTCATGATGCTTTCTGCTAGTTACAAGGAACAGTCATCACCATGAAGGATTTTAGTGCTTTTCTAGATATGAGGAGATATAAGAATTGAGCTCATAAAATCGGCTCCTTAAAATATATAACTATCTGAATTCCTGTCCTGGCAGTCACCCCCCACCCCAGCTCCTTTCAGGGGGTGCTGAGGGTCAGCAGTTGAACAGCACATGAGCTAATCCTTGTAGAAGTAGATGGTAAGTGCCGATTTATAGCTGACCCACTCTTTTGTATGTCTAGTTTAAAAGGTTATACATATACAGATGCATACTGATGGAATAATAGTAAGAGGGTCCTCAATACTCTGTACATATTTATATGCATATGGCAGAAACAATTTACGAATACAAATCAAACTGATAATTGGGAAATTTTGAAATGTGTGGAGAATTTCTCTGTCTGTAAAAGTTTCATTTAAATTTGATTTCAGAAAATTTCTATTACATTCATTGCTCAGAGGCTTAGCTGATATATTTGATTTTTATAATTTTGTAATAGGTGGCAAAAACAAAAAGAAACGAGGACATCATGAATCAACAGCACATTAGGAAATAGATTTATCAAGCTCTGTTTGAAAGAATTCTTAAACATAAGAGCTACAACTCTTTTTTTTTCCCCTGAGAATACACCGTATTTTATGTTCTTTATAAACCTGCAAGGTTGACACGAGTTAATTGCATAGTTGAAAATGGGTATTTACCTGGTAGCTATTTATCACTATTATTGTATCTCATGAAAGCTTAGGTTGCAATTAGCTCTCTGTTCATTACCATGTCACTTTAATGGTGACATGGTATTTGCATAATGTATAATGTATTTGTATTTGTATAATATATTTGTGTAATGTACGTTCTAAGGTACTCTTCTTCTCTGTGAAATTAACATAGCATTTTACTTTAGTAACAAATCTTGAGACTTCTACATTAAGACAAAGGACAGTTTACTTGCACTTGTCTTCTGCCCCACAAATATTCTTGATGGGTGAAGTAAATATTCCTAGCGCAGTGCTTATCCTGAACATTTAAGTCAGGATTGTGGAAAAAGAACCTGTGTATTCTTTTTGAGATTTCTATAACAGAGATCTACTGAAGTGTTACTAGAGAAGTATAAAAGTTAGACTCATCATCTCAGTTCATTGAGCAATCAGTGGATATTAGGGTACTGAATTGGTGGTCAGAAGAAGTGAGTTTGAGTTTCCAGTTTCATATTTGCTGAATTGTGATATTTATTTAATATCTTTGTGCCTCATCTTCCTTGTATTTATAAATACAGGGATAGTAGTAAATACAGAGATAGTAGCTCTTCTATCTTCTTCATAGAACTGTTATGAGAATGGCAACAAGTTGATATACATTAAGAACCTTTATAATCTCAAGTAATATGCTAAAGTTTGTCACTAGAGAAAAGTCTTATTTATTTTTAATATATATTAAAATTCACAGGGGGGGGGGATAAATTGAGGGATTGGGGTAGATATACACACACCATGTGTGCTTAGTCGCTCAGTTGTGTCTGACTCTTTGCGACCCCATGGACTGTAGCCCCCAGGCTCCTCTGTCCATGGGGATTCTCCAGGCTGGAATACTGGAGGCATACTGGATGCCATGCCTTCCTCCAGGGGATCTTCCCAACCACTATATATAAAATAGATAACCAAAAAAGACCCACTGTATAGCACAGGGAACTCTATTCAATACTCTGTAACAACCTATATGAGAGAAGAATCTTAAAAAGAGTGGATAGATGTATATGGCAACCCACTCCAGTATTCTTGCCTGGGAAATCCCATGGACGGAGGAGCCTGGCGGCCTACAGTCCACGGGGTCGCAAAGAGTCAGACACGACTGAGCGATTTCACTTCACCTCACTTCATAACTGATTCAATTTGTTGTACACCTGAAACTAACACAACCTTGTAAATCAGCTATATACCAATAAAAATTTTAAAAAGACATAAATTTCAAATATTAATTTCCTAAAGGTTCCCAGATCTGTCATACAATAAACAATGGTTTTATAAAGATTAAAAAAATTCACAGTAAATTAACAAAAAGCTTACTTAGGACATTTACAAAATCACTCTGTAAACTAGATTAATTTCTTAATAGAAATAAGAAAATGCCTTTAGGGTCCACTTGAAAAATTGTTTTATTGATTTACACACAAATGAATGCATACATGAACTACTTAGAGGTAAATGTCATAGAAAACCTCCAAAGAACCTGCAGGATATCTACATTTGTAATCAAGTTAAACCTTTCTTTTGTTATTTAACATCCAGAGAGACCAGTACAGTCCTTTCTCTTCTTTGTTTAGGTATGCCTCTCATGAATGTCTGCTGCTGTCATCAATGTAGTAATGTTATGGGCAGGTTGGATGGACCCCTAGGTTTGGAATTTTTTTCCCTGGTACCTGATTTGACTTGTAGTTTTGAAGTCTTGATCAATTTACCTGCAAGTTGCCTTTGCCACAGAAAAACAGATTCATACAGAGAGACTCATAATGCACCCTAAATCCATTTGCTAATTTACAGCAAGAAATATTATAAACTTATTGTCATTATAACACTAGTGTATTACCTTTGCTTTATAGTTCCTGAAGGCTTTTGAATTCATTATCTCATTTTTGAACTTCATGACTTATGACTTTTGAACAGAATGATCTCATTCATTTCTAAACTGCTTAATTTCTCTATTTATCATGTGGAAAATACCATAAAGTGCAAATTAGAACAAGAGACCAAATCTGAGCTGTCAAAAATAGCACAATGTTAACAATTCTTCCCATTTCCTTCCTTTTCTATGCATATGTATATAATTGAGATCATGTTGTATATGTCATTGAAATGTCAAAGTTTCCTTTTTTTTCTGGTTAAGATGGCCATCTATGACATTTGTAAAATCGTTGGAAAAGCTGTAGAAAGAAGACACAAGTTCAAATCAGAAAACGAAAACCATATACAATTTACTACTGTAGTTAATCATCGTTAACATTTTGGTGTATTTTCCTCCAGTGTTTTATTCCTTTTATTTTTTTAAAACGTAGTCAGGAGTGCTTGCGGAGACAGCCTCTGGCTGGGTTGGGAATCAGACAGCTTCTATTGTCGGACTGGAAGCTGCCGATCAGCACTCGCCTTCCTGGACAGGGATAGCAACACAATATTTTCTTTTAAGGCTCCCTTGTTTCCGTATTCTAGCTGACTCTGTGTCTCTTTGTGGAAGGGTTACGACTCCGGAAAGGCCTTCGTGGCTAAGTCCCCACTCCAGGGGCTGCGACTCGCAGAGGGGCCAGCCCATCCTCAACTCTCCCGAGGTTATTATCAGAACGCACTTCCACGTGGCTCTGAGTCCTCATATCTTGCTGTTTTCGATCTTTTCTCGTCGAGAGAAGCCTTTTAGGTCCGACGATCTCTCTCAGACTCTCGGGAGATCCTGGTAGGCCTCTGTCACAAAAAACCAAGGGTCCGAGCCTCTCTGCCTCGCTTTGCGAGCAAGAAGTGCGTCCCTTCTCGCTTGCCTTATGCCTGGCAAGGCGGGGACCGCACTACCATGCCGCCAGCCGGAGGGGGGGACGCTCACGTGCGACCCTCTGCTTTCCAGCCGGTAGCCGTGGCTCCCAGAAAACCACCGATCAGACCACCAGGGTCAGTTTTATATTGTCCTGAGAGCTCGCATAGGAGGCACACAAGACCATCCACTCGAGCTCCGCTGCAGACGCACCCCTTCCCTCCCCTTCGGTTCGTCCAGACCTCCGGCGGCGGCAAGCGCGCCAGCCGCGGCAGAGCGGCCTCGGCCTTTGACAGCTCGGCTCGAGCACCTCCAGGCCTCTAGTCCCGGCTCAGGGGGCGGAGCGAGGCGGGGCGGGGCGAGCGCGCGCGGGGCGGGGCGAGCGCGAGCGGCGGCGCGAGGAGGGAGCGCGCGAGCCGAGCCGAGCGGAGCTGGGAGGTGCTGGGGAGAGGCAGGCAGAGCCTGGCCGGCCGCCTGCGGCTCCGCGCCGTTCTTGCTGCGTCCCCGGCTCCAGGTACCCCCGCCTCTGCCCAGGCTCCCGCAAAAGTTTTATTCTCTGAGGCTCCCCCCGGCCTGTCTGAAGGACTCGGAGCGATTGGCCCGCTGTGCGCTCCCCTGCGGCGGCGACCAAGGGGACGTGCATCCCTCGCCCGCGGGGCTCTCGTGCCTCGCTCTTCCTCACCTGCAGATCGCTCCCGGGAGCGGCGAGGGGCCCCAGCCGAGGGGCCGCGCGGGCGTCGGCGCCCAGAAACTCTCCAGCCCACCGCCGCAGACCCGCCCGGTTCAACTTAAACTTGATTCCTCTCGTCCAGCCCCGGCACCCGCGACTGCTGTGCCACCGCCGGCGTCTCGGCCGCAGCAGCCGTCGCCTCACAAAGGGGCGTAGGGAGGGGTAGCAGGCGGCGGGCACCGGCGCCGGTACGCTGGGCGCTAGCCTCCGGGCCGCCGAGGCCGGGAGACAAAAGGGAAACTGCCTCTGTTCGCCGGACCGGCTCGGAGCTGCCCGATCGTTCGCCTCCCGGCCGGCTCCGTGAGCCTCCTCCCCGCTGCCTCCCCGCGGCTGCTGCTCCGCCTCCCTCCCCGCGGGCTGTCCCCGCAGCGCTCCGGGACCCAGCCAGCCTTCGGGGCGCGCGTCGCTGCTGGCGGTTGGGGCTCTAGCGATAATAAATGATAGAGGATACAATGACTTTGCTGTCTCTCCTGGGTCGCATCATGCGCTACTTCTTGCTGAGACCCGAGACGCTCTTCCTGCTGTGCATCAGCCTGGCGCTGTGGAGTTACTTCTTCCACACGGACGAGGTGAAGACCATCGTCAAGTCCAGCCGGGACGCCGTGAAGATGGTGAAGGGCAAGGTGGCCGAGATCATGCAGAACGATCGACTGCGGGGGCTCGACGTGCTGGAGGCTGAGTTCTCCAAGACCTGGGAGTTCAAGAGCCACAATGTGGCGGTGTATTCCATCCAGGGTCGGAGAGACCACATGGAGGACCGTTTCGAAGTTCTTACGGACCTAGCCAACAAGACGCACCCCTCTATCTTCGGGATCTTCGACGGGCACGGGGGCGAGGTAGGAATTCTCTGAGACTGTGTGTGTGTGTGTGTGTGTGTGTGTGTGTGTGTGTGTGTATTACAGGACGTTGTGTGCGCAGCCGGTAGGACTGGGTGCGAGGGGCGTGGTGATGACCTACCTGGGGGTGGGTTGGACAGAGCCACTACTTCCAAATGTGACCAAGTTGTCAAAAACACTAACGGATCCAGACCTCTTGTACAGAGGGTCCTATGCGGGGGAGGGAGGATCATGCATAACTCATAATTTAGGAAGTTTTTCAAGGCCAGAACGCAGCAAATGACTGTGCTACTTTTCCTGGGAGAGTTAATGGTTTCTACTGTCAACTTTGGTCCAGGGCCTCAGCGCCCCTGTTATGGGTTGGAACCCGAACTAGGCACAAAGGAGGAATAAGGTGTCTTTGATTCTCGTTAGGAAAAAGATAACATCTGCAGAGCCGAGTCAGTGAGGGCTTAGTGAGGATGGAGGAAGCGGGGATTCCTTTCCATCTCCATCTCCCAGAGGAGGAACCCGAGGGGGCAGCGCTGGGCTCCTTCCTAATTCCATTAACTTTGCAAGTGCAATCCGGCCACTTGACAGCAGCGCTTAGCTGGCCGGCCGCTGGATCGAGGCGCGGGACCGAGGTCCCTCTGGCCTTAGAAGAGGTGGCAAAGCCCGCAGAGGTAGCGCTACCCAAATTTCATCCCTGCGAAATCCTCTGAGCCGGCGTGGGACGGAGACGTCTCCCTGCTTCTGAATTCTTTTATTCGGGGGTTCATGCGGGGGCAAGAGTTGAGGTTAGAGGGAGGTTCAGGTCCCTCTCCAGCATTTCCGCGGCATCCTGATTGCTTGCCGGGGCTCAGATTTCCTGGAGGTCGGAGCGAGAACTGGCATTGGTCCTTGGGCATCGGCCAGGCGAAGTGAGTGGTGAACGTGGTTCAGCCACCCCATCTCAATCTGGCAGTTTGGAATGGAGTTTCTTAGCTGCATAGTTTCTTTTTTAAGCGTGCTTTTTTACTCGTATCCCAGCTCCTCCCCCCACATTTGCCACCCCTTCTTCATCACTCCCCTCCACCCCCTACTCCGTCCAGCCCTCCGCTACTTCTCTTCTTGGAGCTTATGGTCACTGGGTGGGCTGTAGTGGGAATTCTCTTTCAAGCTAGTTCTTTGTTTTTGGTGAACACTGAGAGAGCTCTCAGCTGGTTGTCTCTTTTGGTACCAAGTCACTTCAGCCACCACTCCGCTCATCTTTACGACTTACTGCATCTGCCTGCCTGGTGGAACCAACTTTGCCAGGAATGACAACTTACTAATAGTTGGAAAGTTTATTTGGTAGAGCTGAAATAAATTTTTGCGATTTTTCATCCACCCTAGCCCTTTCTGTCTTCTGTGTTTCAAAATGGAGTTTTCTCACGGATTGTAATTTTGTAGCCTCTTATATACTTTGGGGTTCTTTTCCTTTGAGTAGGTGAAAGGTGTGAAGTTAACAGAGGGAAGGGCCAAGATGTGAAGTTAATTGAGGGAAGGGCCACTGTGTACTTGGGTAAAAACATATCTGAAGGAGGAGGTTGCCAATATAATGATTGATTTGTTTCCTGGTTTGAGTCAGAATGTCTATATTTTCATTTTATGTCTTCTTTTTTAAAAATTTGATTTTATATTTATTTGTTTTAATTGAAGGATAATTGCTTTACAGAATTGTGTTGGTTTCTGCCAAACATCAACATGAATCAGCCATAGGTATACATATGTCCCCTTCCTCTTGAGACTCCCTCCCACCTACCTCTCCATCCCACCCCTCTAGGTAGTTGCAGAGCTCTGGTTGGAGTTCCTTGAGTCATATAGCAAATTCCCATTGGCTATCTATTTTACATATGGTAATGTAGGTTTCCACTGTGCCTCGATTCTTATAAATCATTTAATAAAAATTATGTTTATTACATACTTTTACATTAAAATTGTTGGCAGTTCTGATTCTTGTCTTAGAAAGTACAGTTTTATTAATTTAAAGGTCTGGATGTAGTATTAATGTTGTGAAACTCTGGGTTGTGCTTCTCTGGCTGTGCTGTATTGTTATGTTTTGAACATGTAAGTGAGTGGGGTGTTTTAAACTTTTCTTCCAAGTTGATATTCTAAAACTTAAATGTTGAAGACTCCAACAGATTTCAGGTTGAAAAATTCAGTATTATCTTCTGGTAGATGTACCATTCAGAAAAGATCCATAATAAATGCTTTTATTTAACTGGAAATGTTTTACCTGTATAATGCTTTTCATTAAAATTTTAAATAATAAAGGAGGTTATCGTTAGCCAGACTATGAAATGAGTTTCATTGTGCCTTCCATTAAAAAGTTTGCTGTCTGCACAATAATAAGTATTATCAGTACTCTGAAAAATAGAATAATTGTTCTCTGTATGACATTGTACAGACTGTAGCCAGTTCATTCGTTTTGGCTTTGTTTTAGGACAAAATGTAGTTATAAAAAGGAGCTATTTAATTGCTATTGGGAATGTGATGGCAAATAATATTAGGTAGCTTCTCTCTTGCTTTTTCTTTCATTCAAAGAAAATCCCCCCATCTAAATCTTGTCTTTTGTGTGGTTTAACTCCTTTAATATTCACCAGAGGAGGGTGCCACTGTTTGATTTTGGTATGGTTTAGAAAAGAGGAAGCTTTTTCTGAACTCTGTGTATATAACTATGTATTGTCTGTAGTATAGTATGGAAGATATATGAGGAATTTAATTTATTTATAATAATTCAGACTAATAAGATAGGCTACTAAAAATCAGGACCCATCTTCAATCGTAGTGCTTTTAGAAAGAACCTCAGCCACCTTGTGTATCTGTTTCATTCTGTTTTTTAGATATGTTTACTGATGGCAGGAGAAGTTGTGACTTTCCTAAGACTGCGTGGCTATTCAAGGCCTTCAGTTTGATAGTCTTTATGTTAAACCAGTGGACAAATTTATTTGCATATTTACCTAGGTAAATAGATATCACACTAGGGATACACTGATGAATGAGATACAATTCCCTTCCTCAAAGAGTTTCAATGTGGTGAGAGAGATAGACCTATATACCAGGAATTATAGTTATGGTGTACTTGCGGTTATAGTTAGGGTCTTATTGGAACATTGTCATTTTAATCAAATAGGGAGGTCAGAGACCCTGGGAAGGACACCTTGAAGCTTCATTTACTGCAAGGTTAAATGTATGTGTTTTCAATCCACGCTCTGCTTTAAACTGTCTGTGACTTCGGGCAAGTTTGCTTAAGCAACTTTATCTGGGAGTTTTTAGTCTGAAAAATATGGATAATAATGCATGTGAGGTTCACCTTCATCAGTTGTCTAATAGCCTGTCTAGAAAAATACTTGATGATAGAAGGATGTGAAATAGGAAAGCTTGGATACCAAGAAGTCTGCAGTATTAGGCAACAGTATTCAACAGAAGAAAAGAGATTCTACCCGTGAAAGCCACAACTTTGATCATTAGAAAGTTGTATATTTGATATAGATACTTCATTAGGTATCCACCAAACTCTTCTAGCACTGCTTGTTCTAACTTTTGGTGAACCAATTATTTATTTAGAATTTCAGGTATCCTAGTATTGGGGAAGTAGCATCCTGGCTTCAGGTGAAAATTTTCTGATAAGTAAAAAGGAATATTCTTTATGGTTAATTGGTAAATTGGTATTCTGATTTGTACTTTAGCCTCTTATGAGTTAAGTTAACATGAGTTAGTTCTCTTGAGTCTAGTCACTGTTTATTTTTGACAAAGCT